AGCCCTATAATTATTTACTTTGCCAAACACTTATATAATGGTAATTTGAATAATAAGAACCCATTGAATTGTAAAACAGGAATGTAATCATTAACAACTGTGACTTATGAGTTAAAAATATCCCAAAACTGTGTTTGGGTGAAATAACCAAATGTGACCAATGAACATAACATTTATTTACTTTCAAGTCAAAAAAGTAAGATTAAAAATGCAAGGTAGAAGGCACATTAGTTATTGATATGTTAAAATAGTTCATGAGGACATGGTTATTTAATTCAAAAAACGTATGGTAAAAATTTTACTTATAAATGATTTTTTCCCGAATAACCATTTTATCAGTTTTTACAAAGTAAACAAGTGTAAGGCTCACACAAGGATCAATTTACTTAAGACATTTTTGTACTGATTTATACCCCGTTGCTCCAAGAGCAAGAGCAATGAATGGCGATTTTTCAGTCAAAACAATGGAACAAACATATTATAATTATTTTGTTTAGCATTTAACAAATAAAGTTGTGTTCAAATTAGTATTTTTTCAAAACATCCCTAATTATAAATTTTTTTTTAATAAAGTTGCTCCCTGTGTGACCCCTATAATTATTTACTTTGCCAAACACTTATATGATGGTAATTGGGATATTTAGAACTCACTGAATTGTAAAATAGGAATGTTATCATTAACAACTGTGACTTATGAATTAAAAATATCCCAAAACTGTGTTTGGGTGAAATAACCAAGTGTGACCAATGAACATAATATTTATTTACTTTCAAGTCAAAAAAAAAGAAGAATAAAAATGCAAGATAGAAGGCACATTAGTTATTGATATGTAAAAATAGTTCATGAGGGTATGGTTATTTAATTAAAAAAAATTATTTTAAAAATTTTACTTATAAATGATTTTTTATTTCCCAAAATTGGTCACTTCATAGTAATCTAATACAACATCAGTTTTGGGGATTTTCTGGAGTTTTAGCGCACACTAATACTGTAAGCACCTATAAATGAACCAGAAAGATGACAGTTGGAGTTGGTTGATTTGACAGATCCCTAACTTGTCAAAGTTTGCAATATACATGTATAAACTACCATGTATGCATATAGTTTATAAATAAAAATATAAGTACATAAGGTAGGCAGATCTTTTCATATACATGTACATGAGTTTTACATCAAGTCCCCCGTCCCATCTCCATCCTCCATTCCCAACCACCTATGCCCTCAATGACTTGGATCAATATCATATGATGTATCTATGAGAATCGGGGAATTGAGATATGAGGGAGAGAGGAAAGCAGCTGAATACCATGAATCTTCAAAAATAAATCTATGACATTTTTATATCATGATTCAGCTTAATTTTAGAAGATTATCTCCTGACTTATTTCCTCTATGTTAAACTTGATTAGAAATATTCTAATATTCAACATAAATTTACTTAAACATGCTGAGCAATTATTATTGGTTTTAAATATACGTAAATTATCAATAATGATATTCATAAATAAGGTTATTTTTATATATTTATTTAGATGGATCATTATGCAGTCTATCTGACACAATGTATATGCTGCTCTTGCAGACTATAATGCTCAAATGTGAAAACTGTATCAGCCAAATAAAATATCGAACATATTTTATATTTCAAGGCTGGAGGGTTAATTCAGTTATCACTATACATATGAAATAGTCTAAAATTCAAAAGATAAAAACATCAATACCAGACATCATAAAAAGTCTACTTCATAGTCTGTATCTTTTCATACATGATATATTCCTCAATGGCCAAAAAATAAGGCTATCCTTTCAACCTTATTATTCTGAATGTTTACATTTTAAAGCATATCTCATGTGTGAAGTAAAGTTTTATTTAGTAAATAAAATATAATATTACAACTTGAACGAGCTATGCTTTGCATGCGAATAAATTATTTCATATATTAGCTTCTAAATTTCATGTTTTTCATGAAAGAAATGAAGATTTTCTTGCAAGAATGCCTCTGAATTCGTATATGGAGTTGCCATGTTTGGTAATAGGTGTAATACTATACATATGTATATTTGGGTACCCATCTGCTTAGCTGGCAAACACCTCTAAGCAGTAAAACATCCATCTGTGAAAACTAATTGGTTTTTCCCATACAGCTACTTATAGATGTTAACAGTATAATACAGGTATGGTACACTTTAGTGATGCTGGAGATGGAGAAAATGAACCAGTTTATCTATGCAAAAAATGTATTTAAAAGGTCACAAATGTAAATTTATTTGATAAAAGCTCAAGATGATTGCAAAATTGATATAATTGTTAAATCACAGGCCTACAGTAGTCTGTCCAGGTTAGAAATGAGATATAATATCACGAGACCCATTTCATCTACCCAATATGATCACCAAAAATCAATAATAGCTAGGGCAGAACATTTTGATATTATACAACATGGACCTTGGTAAAATATTTTCATATTTTCACAAATTAGAATGATAAAGACAGTAATATTCAAATATATATTTATTTCATATACAGAAACTTCAGAAACAGTTCACTATTAAAATCACAGCAGAAATTGCAATTTTTGAGACACACCCCCTGGTATTTTTAAAGCACGCTCCCTACAGTAAATAAATTGAAACTGAAAAGTGATTGATTTTTCATGGTATTTTCAAGACATATTCTCCTGGTATTTTGTGAGACACACCCCCCTGGTGTAACCAAACAACAAAATTATAGTTTCTCAGTATGACTTCTGTTCTTGATTTCCTGTAAGGAAGTACAGCATGTACATGAAGAATTCTTGATCTCTGAGTTACGGGTCAATGTAAGAAATGTAACATTATCATATGAAATATGTATTTTAGGAAATTACATTTTAAACTCCTTAGCACTAAGTGCATAATAAAAACATATATTGTTAGTCTTACATCAAGTCTATGGTCACACCCAACCCCTTAGACATTTCGCTACCCAAAAAGATGATTGAGAATAGGGGGAGGCGGGGGTAACATAAGGGCTTGATGGCAGACTAATAGTATTGTTTAAGGTAGGCCAAGTAGAACACATTTGGATTTGTTAGTAAGAACACAGAATGTAATTCTGAGAGATTATTCATAAGACCCAGTTCACCTTAATATACATATAACTGGATGAGGAGAGGTCACAGAGGTTAAGAGATTTTTAGGGAATTATTTATTCTATAGTTGAGAGATGTAATGACAAATGCAATTTTTATCATACCCACTAAGATACACTTTTGTGATTTTCTTGTTTATTTATCTTAAAGCAAGTTCTACTTCACATTTCTGTGCAGATTCATTACTTAGACTAACTCCAGTAATGGAAATATAAGGTGAACTCTACATGCAGGTACAACATAGAACATGTACCAATCCTATGTCTAAAATAGCTTACAACGTGTCTAGCCTCCTGGTATATATTCCTAACGTGAAATCAATGCAATATGCTAGGAAATCTTGCAAGAATTTGAAGCAGAATTTTTAAATAATAATCATTGATATTTCTTATGTGAAAATCATCACAATATAAGTTGACAAGATTTCAACTCTGAAAATAGGTATCAATAGATTTTTGGGAGTTCCATATCTGAACCAGCAAAAATGGAAAGAGCAACTGTTACAGACCGATTAAAAGTGCACCTCAGTATTGTATATTTGTAGCATATTGGACTATTGGTTAAGGTGTCTGTTGAGAGACTCCTTGAATTAATTTGGAATGATCCATAATGCTCAGTAGCAATCTACAATATCTATACATCTAAACATTTATTACTGATTTGTTCCAGGACATTATGATTTCAACACATAAATAAATCATACTTCTTAGGGGTTTGCCATACATCCTTAAAGATCAGTCCTTCATTGCTTTCATGCAGCTCATATAATGCATTGAACTACTCTTGGGCCAAGGATGTTTCCATACTCTTTATTACTTTCTGATCCTGGGTTTCTAATGTATCAACAAAAGTATGGCTTGGCATTGCAAGCTGAGACTTCCCTCTCCCCCCCCCCCCTCTCCTCACTCCTAGCACATCTAAGCATGTTAAAAACTAAATAGCTCTGCAAGACGAGGTTCTACTAATTTATAATACAAATGAAAAAATGAGTGTTCCAAATTGGTGAATGAGTAATCAGACAATTTAGTCTGTTAATGGATCTATGACGGGATTGATTTTTTAATAACTCTGACATAATGACGTGAATATTGTAATTATAAACTCCAATAGAAATTACAAAACATAAGCAGCCTATTTTGATTGTAAGTAGATGTCAACTAAACATGCCAGTTTACCCCTAAGCCTATAATAACGTTATAGCCTCTAAACCATAACAGCTAAAAATACCATAGTACGAGTAGTCCAGCTAGCATGGTATGGTGTTACGATAACATGGCCATCAAACTATAGCTAATAAATTACATGATGGCTAATATAAACTGTGGTATACCTGATACAGCATGGATGTACTCCATGGGGGGACATAATCCACCAACAGAATCTACGGGAGGGGGGGGGGCATAATTCCAATGGAACAAGGATGAACATTCCTGTCACATGTACAAGTTAATTTTTGAAACACATCCATCGAAACATTCTTCATCATATAAAATGAAAATCAAATTTATTTGAAAATCTAACCTTTGAATAGACCTAATAACAAATCTCCCAAGATCGGAAAATCTAAGTCAAGATATAGAGTACAAGTAGACAGAGTCTATATAGAGATCAAATATCGAATTCAGCAGAATCTTTATCTAAACTTTTAAATCTGGTCCTTCATTTTTTCAAAACAGGAAGTTGTTTTTGAACTTTTTACCGGTGACATTTCAGTAGATTTTGTGGATATAGACAGCAATTTCACGTCAGTTTTAAACATCTAAAGGATATTGGCAATTTAACAATCTAAAGTAACATTTATACGGATAGGTGTGGGTAATAAGGGATAATTTATGTGGATGAGTCAAAAATATGTGGACAATTCTGACCTTTCTCTGCTGTTTTTCCCAAGCGGGATCGAGAAGTCCTTCCCTCTCCCACTCTTCCTCCTGCTCCATGTATGCCCCATCATTCTGCTCTCCGTAATACATCTTGCTGGTTTCCTATCCGTGTGGCCTGGAGGCCTAATAAAAAGTAAATCCGCTAATTTTTAAGGGGAGATAGGCAAAATATGACCGAAACTTTTCAACAGGAACACCACCCCGCCGATAGAGGTCATTGAAGAAGTCACGTGACGTCCTCGGAAATAACCGTCCGTTTCCGTAACATTCCGTTTTTTAGAAATGATTAGCAGTCGATGTTTATTCTATCGCATTTCAACCCAGATGCTCAGAGCTTTCCTCTTTTATGTCTTTCGATGCTTAGACTATACTACAAGTTCTCTCCAGGAACACCGTCATTGAAAATTAAAAACGTTCGTCGTTTTATCATATGTCAAAAATTACGAACAAATTTCGTCCTAATATTTTGGCCGATCATAAAATCGATGCAGAAGCATGTTTGGCGTAATCCGGCCGATTGTTTAAAAACTTAAAATTTTCAAAATTTCTCGTTGCTTGAATTTGCTGTCAATGGAACAGTGCTTCGATAAATTGAAATTGGATTGTAATAGCTGAACTGAATGTTTGTATTTATATGGTAGAAATGGTATCATAGGTCGACACAATCACTTATAAAGGTAACACAGGTACATATATTTTTTCCCCCAAAAAGTTGAAAATTTCAAAATTATTCAAAAAATTCATTCAAATACCCTTTGCATTCGTTCGACTTCAGTTCTTAGAGAGCTAAGTCTTCACTCTTTCAATTTACATGAAATCTTACCGAACTTATCGAGGTCCAAAACTTGACTTACAGTCGTGAGATCATTGGATCAAGCATGGGCTTTCATCTATTGAAAGCCCATATGTTGCTATATTGTTACCAGTTTTATCCCCGTTCTGTACACCTAAATTACACACCTCAATAAATTCTAGAAGTCTAAATGATGCTTTTCAGTTGATCAAACCCATTATCGTCTTGGTTGCATTGGTAGAACGAGGTCATTTAGTTTTTTCATGGATAGATATTCCATCACTTTTCAAAATGGCCGTTAAATTTAGCAGGGGATTCTCCTTATGGCTGGTGCATGCCAGGACTGGATGTTCCACTAAATTGAGGAATTTGACGGTTAAAATAAGTTAAATATTACAAGCAATATTGCTATCAAAAACGAAGATTTCATTGTTCTGCCGATAAACCAAAACGATTATGGGGTTTGATCAACTGAAAAGCATCATTTAGATTTCAAGATTGCTGATTGGTTGAGAAAAGGTCAGCGTGGTAGGTTTAAAATGATTTATGACCCAGCCTGTCCAGGCACTTGTGGTCGGGGCGGAGCTGCTTAACAGTATTATAGTCTATACTAAGCAGAGGGTAGTTTATAACTAGACTCTGCATGCAGGGTATCATTCAAAGAAAATAAAATCAAAATTTAGTCTTGATTAAAATATCTGTTGAAAATCTTGATTCTTTGAATCCCGCTTTTTATGTCCCCAACACATGTCACATAGTGTCGACAACTTTCAGCTCATCTTTATTTAAATGAACCAGAAGTGAATTTTCGAGTAAATGGTTGTGATGTTCTTTTTATGAAGCTGAGAAGTCAAAACATTACAAATAGAAATTAAAGTAAGCATTTGAAGATCATTTAGAAGCATTTAAAATCGAATCCACAGCAAAATTTGAAATAACTGAAATATATCCACACCGACGTCACACTTCCGGTTTTATAATCGATGATTTGATCGATCATAAAATATTTTTATGAATTGTCCAATATCTCCTTCAATATGGTATGTATACCTGTGTTGATTGTTAAATGAAAAAATAGGTAGGGAATGTCAAAGTCAATTGATCTCGTCCAAGAAGCAATATTTTTTATTTCTATCGCTCAGAATTCCTTTAAATTATTTTGGAGCGTTATAGATAATTTTAGGTGTCCTGTATTGATAACAGAAGTTGTATATGACAATTTTGAAAAAAATCCGTCCGTCCGTTGGTCCGTCCATCAACATTGGCTGCACAAATTAAAACTGCTATTCGGATTGAGTCATATCCACATTCATTTTATGCATATCAATAATGCCTATTTGACCTATCATCACCATTTCCCAAGTTCGCCCCGTTTCCGAGAAATTGCTGATTTTGACGTCAAAAAGTCAAATTTTCTGTAAATACTAGACACTTTGTTGAAGTAGAATTTTCAAATAACTTGTAGTAGTTGCTGTATATGCCACTTATATCCTCTGAAGATTTCAAAGCTCTTGGAATTACAGTTTTTGGTGTTTACTCTATAAAATTTGACAAAAAGTAGGACTCATTTTCAGGAAACTTTCTCATATATAAAGTCAATGGCAGGTTTTGTGATTGACAAGTTTCTCAAAGTTTGCCTTATACTTGATCATTTCTTGCAATGAATTACATCATAACTAGATTTAAGCATTCCATACATATTGCTCAACATATGTCAGCATCAAATTTTTACCGTTTTTGAGATATTTGACGTCAAAGAACAGTAAAAATAAGTTATTTTTCAACTTGCTTCAATTTGACCAAATTTTTGGGAAAATCATCTACAGGTTGCCAGGAGTTCAAATCTGACATTAGTTTTAGGATTTGCCCTTTACTTGACCTTCAGTGACCTTCGAAAGGTCAAAAAAGTTGATTTTTCAAATTGATTTTTGGATGTAAATTTTGGTCAGCTTAATCACAAAAGACCTTACTGAGCTCTGAATAAGTAAAATTTTCAAGGTCAAAGGTCATCAAACTAGGTCACACAACTGTGCTATCTAAGTTTCTCAAAGTTCGAGACTACAAATCCAAATCAATATTTTTGTTTGAAAGTCAGGATATACATTCCTCTGAAGGTTCCAAACTGTGTGAGCACAGGACCATGGGTCCTTTATTTATTGTCAGCCATTCTTGTATTTTCCTTCGTAAAATCTTATCTGGAAAGTATTCTCATGGTTTGAGGGATCAATTTAAAATTTTCAGGGATGATTCTTTGTATGCAAATCTCTGACTGCATCTTAGGGAAATTTTAAGCCAGCCATTTTGAATTTCAGTCCTAAAATCCTTTCTGTAAAGGCTTGCTTAGATGTTTTTAGAAGAACTGTTTCCCATATCAATGTCACATTTCACATATACGTACATATCAATTTCAAATTTTCAGGGATAATACTTCATTTGCAAATCTGTAACTTTTTAGTTTTTGGGCATTCTGGGTAAATGTTAAGGTTGCCATTTTGGATTCCTCTCTGTTTAGTCTTGTCTACATGTTTCCTAGCAAACTGGTTGACGGATCGATTTCAATTTCCAGTTATCAAACTTATCAACAGAATTTTCAATGCAACTGTACTGTATGGGGCTCCCTAAGGGGTATGTGATAAGGCGACTTGGCTTCTCAAAATGTGACTAAATGGGACTTTGAGGTACTTAAAATGAACAAATGTGACAAATCAATCCTTGCAAGTGACAATTTTCACATTTATCGGACTGACAAGTGTTTTGAGAGTGACAAAAATAGATAATTCGTTCTGAATGTAAATTAATGCTAGTTAAGATGACTTATTCTAACCAGCAATCAAACAATGGAACATAACAGACTATTTAGTACATTAAATACTTTGACTGACTAAAAAGGAACGAACCTGACAAAATATGACAAGTAAATTTTAAATGTGACAAAGTGAGAATTTTGAAATCTTAAAAGTGACAAAAGCGACCCCACTACCTCCTCTTGGGGAGCCCTCTGTATATCAAAGGAAGCATCATTTGAATTGAAAATAGCTTATTTATTTCAAGACTTATCATTTTTATGATTCCAGAATACAAATACAAGATGACATCTATCATTAAATTGCATGCCCTCTCAGGAGTCCAAGATGAAGGCCCCTTAGCCTATATGCTGCAAGTGGATGAGTTCAAGTTTTTACTAGATTGTGGATGGGATGAAGGCTTCTCTATATCACACATTGAAACACTGAAAAAGTATGTTTTAATATAAATTAACTTAAAGCTATATGTTCACCAATTATTGGACTCATAATTGTAATGAAATGGGGTGAAGTTTAACAAGACTATAATGTTTCATTGAAAAAATATCCATGAATATTGGGATTACTATAGGTAAAAAATTAGTCAGTTAAGACTTAGTTGAATTATGTTGGGCAAAGTCATCGAGGCCTTAATGGCCTGATTGATGCTTGTTTTGCTTTTTTATTCAAATTATACATATGTATCTATCTCTTAATTGATTAAATGCTGCAAAAAATGTTGACCATTTTAGTTTAATCAGATTCTACAATCTCAATAAAGTTTGTATGTTACAGACATATCCACCAAATAGATGCCGTTTTGTTATCATATCCTGACCACTACCACCTTGGGGCACTACCATACCTTGTTGGAAAATGTGGCTTATCATGCCCTGTATATGCCACTGTCCCTGTTTATAAAATGGGGCAAATGTTCATGTATGACATATACCAGGTAAAATATCCATTAAAAATTATCCAGAGAAAATTTAGTTCTGTTGATTCATAGAGTACAAATGAAGTTACTTTTTAATATATGAGAGAAATTTCTTTAAATGAGAAAATGTTTAAATATGAAGGTATCATTCTAGATGTGCCTATGAAGTTAACATGAAAAAATAATGTAAATAAACTACTAGAGAAATACCTCGACCATTTATTTTCAGTCTCACCACAACTCTGAAGATTTCACTCTCTTCACTTTGGATGATGTTGATCAAGCCTTCGAGAAAATCATTCAACTGAAATACTCGCAAACAATTAGTCTAAAAGGTAACATTTTTGTTTCTTAATGCAAGGCCAATTTTGAATATACTTGAGAATTGACAAAATAAAAGACAGCTGTGAGAATTTAAGCAGAACCATAAATAAGCTTAAAAAACATTCTGCACCACCTAATGAACCTGCTGGATCATTCTGCCAAATTTAGCCAGTTGTGTTTTGGACAGAGGGTATTTCCAGATCATTTAAACAATTGTGTACATTTAGGCTCATGCACAATCTCTAAGTAAACTAAATACAATGATAACTAAGTTAATGGGACTCCCTGTGATCATGAGGTCCAAGTCAACCCATCAAAATACATTTTACATGACTAGGACTTTATTTTCATCATAAAGGCATCGAGCAAAAAGACAAACCTTTTTTAATGGTCTGAATATACAGACAATCCAAGATATAATTGTCTGAAATTGACTGCAGTATGCAGTCAATTTCATGGAAACATGATTGAGGTAAACTCAAATGAAGTTGATACATTATTTGACATACCAGGCCAGTGTAGAGCGAAGTATACAGCGAAGTATAATCTTTTTTACAATGTGGAACAATACTTACCCTTTGAATTTGTTTGATATATTATATCATTAACATGATAAATCATGACATCTCATTTCTTCTCAGCCCTTTCAGGTGAAACAGAAAGATGCTATGAGTATTAAAATGTGAAATCATATATTTTTTATGATTTCAGGGAAAGGTCATGGTCTTCAAATCACTCCTATAGCTGCTGGTCACATGATAGGTGGCACTATATGGAAGATTGGCAAAGAAGGAGAGGAAGATATTGTTTATGCTGTTGATTATAATCACAAGAAAGAGAGGTAGTATGATGTACAGGGTGATTCCAAAATGTTATTTAATTTGGGTCAAACAAACAGTCAAACTCTTTGTTGATAAGATTACCACCTGCTAAAACTGCTTACCTATGCAACTTGAAATTTTTACAGCTGCAAGAGCAGACAAGTGCCAACATCTGATTCTGTTTAGGGCATTCTGGGTAAATTGCTTGGTGACCACTTTGAATTTTTCCATAAATCTTGTCATCAAAATTCAAGAAAACCACTTATCAGTTCAACTTCAAATTTTTATCAACCATATGGCAAGATCTGATTAGGTATTGTGTATGCTGGCTAACTTACATGGTTGTCATTTTGAGATCTTTTTTTGAATCAAATATTTGTGATCGACCAGGCATCCGTCCATCCGTTGGTCTGTCCGTTGGTCCAACCGTCTGCACAAATTAAAACTGCTATTCGGATTGAGTCATATCCACATTCATTTTATGCATATCCATAATGCCTATTTGACCTATCATCGCCATTTCCCAAGTTTGCCCAGTTTGAGAAAAGTCAAATTCTCTGTAAATACTAGACACTTTGTTGAAGTAGAACTTTCAAATAACTTGTAGTAGTTGCTGTATATGCAACTTATGCCTGTTTGACATATCATCACCATTTCTTAAGTTCTTTCTGATTTCCGAGAAATTGCGGATTTTGACATCAAAAAGTCAAATTAATTGACTAACTGAACAATTGACTAACTGAAACTGATAGGCAAATCTGACTTGAGAAACTGAGTACTGAGTAACTAAATAATCAATTTGAAAAATCAACTTTTTTTTGGATGTAAATTTTGGTCAACTTAATCATAAAAGACCTTTTAAGCTCTGAATAAGTAAAATGTTCAAGGTCAAAGGTCCTAAAACTAGACTACAAATCAAATTCAATAATTTTGTATGAAAATCACGATATACATTTTCTCTGAAGGTTCTACACTGTGTGAGCACAGGGCCGTGGGTCCTTTATTTAGTTCAGATATGTTTTGTAAAAGTTCATTTGGGTATATAGGATTTAGAAATATAGTTGAACAAATTGTTTTAATTTTGTTTAAGTGATTTATATAAGACATTTTAGATTTGTTTATTTTGTTCACTAACGTTTTTCCAACATTTTTAAAGTAGTTATTAAATCCATCAGCTATTGCTTGCTTATTTTCTGTAATTGACCCATCAATCATCATTTTAAAATTGTCAATTTTATTGAATTTCTTCCTACCAAGTACTTCATTTATGATAGTCCAAGTTTTCTTGATATTTCCATTTAAGAGATCTACATTATGAAGATATGACTTACAGTCATTCTTGGTTTCGCCGTCATGAGATACACAGTACTGTCATGACTCATAAAACGAAAAAACAATTATTGATTTTCCTAATCTTGGAAAATTGAGGTAAAAATAAAATGCACTTTAAAAATACCATTTACCACCATATAGAGAAACAATCAACTAAACTAAAATAATCTGTTGAGGTGTACAATTTACCCAGTATACCCATATCAAGGTCAGTGGTTGAGAATGTAACATACTTTAACAAAGACGAGATTAAAATTTCCAAATTGATTCTTAATTAAGATGAATGAACAAAAAGATTCAGTGATTGTTTTTGTTTAATTTATTTGGAAATCGGCACATTGATAGAACATAGGTGGCGCTGCAGTGTTGTGTCACATAGACCACTTGTATTGTATGGAATGGATTTGGACTGAAAGTAAAATATACATGTAACAAACAATCATCCTTCACTCATTAGACATGGATACAATCATGCACTTAAATTAAATTTTTGAATTAAATTTGTATATTTTTAATTAATAAGTTAATAAGAAGAAATTAGTGAATACAATAAATAATGTCTATGTAATATAAGTATTGTTGCAATTTCTCTTAGAGGCCTTCCCCCTATACTCTTGTATAGCTTATTGGGGGGAGGGGGTGAGATTCATTACTGATTTATACAAGATAATTACAAGAGTTTTATAAATAGAGAAAATACTTTGAATGAATTGCCTTCTGTGGAAGAATCTTAGTACCAGAGACTTGTCACATTAAAATATGTATCTTGATTTCTTAGTGGATTGTATGTTGTACAGGACAGTTAAAGACAGGTTTCATTGTAGGATGGACATTTTCTGATTGATATAATCTAAATTCTAGAGATCATATTTTACAAAAAATATTAATTCAGGCATTTTTTCCAATAGAAACTGAGAAAATGATGGCTAGTGATGGTATTATATTGGTTATAACATGTGGTATGAATATAGAGATACCCTTGATTGATGCAATTTGCAATTTTTTAATTTGATTGCATGGTTCCAATTGATATTTTCAATAATACTCATATGCAGGAGTCTTAATATCTACAGTGCAGTACACTTTTTACATAAAATATGCTTTAACATTATTCGTAATCTTACATATAGGTGCTATGTATAATAGTAAAAAACAATTAAATATATGACATTGAAGTAACACTTTTAGAACCTCAAAATATTGTTCTACTTGGGAGATGTTCATTTTAATTGAAGTCGGAATTGCACTCAGTTTTGAACAAATAACTGAATCAACCAGGCGCCAGATTGAAAATTGGAGTAAATATGACCCAGGCCTTTTGGAGGTGTTCAACCTACAGAAGTTCATTCACATTAAAACTATGTGTATCTGGATCTTGGGATATGTATACTTATGGAGTTTTCCACCAGGTTCTGCTGTATTACAATTTACAATATCCGTTCCATTTCTTTAATGTACTGGTGAATGTACTAAGAGTCTTGTGATTCTTCTTCATATTGCAATCGTTTATCCCTTTCAATTTTCATAAGACAAAAGTTCAAAACAATTGCAAAAAAACATAAAATAGATGTCAGAACAAAAAACCACTGCGTACATAATTCTCCATAACAAGTTTGTGATCCAGGTGGACTATAGGTTTCATAATTCAAAGCAAAAAGCTTTTGAAATAAAACCATTCCAACTGCATGGCCAACCGTCATTAAACCAGTATTTTGTGCAAAATATTTCATACCAAATAGGTCAACAGTGATAGTATATACTTGTACATAAAAGAAGGCAAAGGCCATGACTGCCATTGCAGAGGCACTCATCAAACCAGCAAAGCATTGGTTAAAAAATACCAAGACTATTTGACTTATACATGTGAGTGTTACAGGGAATAAAAGAGTTGATGATTTGGGAATGTCTGGCCATTTTTGCGAAATGTAATCTTGTACCGCTCCGCCAATTAATCGACCAATTGATGCAAGGATTGGAATTGTCACTGTGAAGGCTATTGCATTGATGTGAACCTGTGCAGATTTCACAAGAGTTGTAATATTATTTGTAAGAGTTCCACCAGTGCCCCCAGTGATTATGCAGATAAATAGTATGCTATAAAACTGAGGTGTTTTACTGATTTGCCACCACTTCATTTCTTCAACTATTGGTTGATTTGATATCTTTTTTCCAGCAATTGGAGTTGTTTCATTCATTTCATCACTTCTATTGTAAAGCGTAACATTCTGGAGTGTATTTCTTTCTGCTATTTTATTTTCATTTGTATCAATCAATTCTAGTTGGCCAATATCATATGCAGCTGTTACTTCAGGAAGTGTCTCTAGCATTACAACACCAAATGTATTTATACAAACTGATAATACAGCTAGCATAAGCAAGAACTCTGCAAGCTTTTGGTTCTCTGCATCTTCAATGTGTCCTTGAACAAACAATCCTCCATAGAGGGCGCTAAATATTGCAGGGCTTATTCCAAATACAGCTTGGAGGAGGCCAAGTATCTTGCCAGTATGCTTTCTGTCAAAGTTCTTGCAATTCACCACTCCTGATGCTGTATATATAAATTGAGTTCCAACTGATGCCATAAAATAAAAAGCACAAAAAAGCCAACTTTTTGAAGTGAAGAATATCCTAAAGTTTGTTGCTGTCGACATGAGTCCAAATCCTAAGGCTGTGAGAACAAGTGAGATTATACATGATACTCTTGGACCAAAAAGGTCAAAGACAATTCCTGCTGGAAAGGAGAAACAAAATCCCAAATCGCCACTAGATGCAATATATTCCAGTTCAGTTTGAGTATAGTTGAATGCATGTTTCAGGGCAATTGCATATGCATTAAAAGTAAACACAATTCCTAACATGAAATATGCCAGAATCCCAATACTCAGTGACACATACTTCTGTAGTTTTCGGTTTTTTAAATCCATGATGGGAAAACATACTGTCACATTACTAGTCCATGCTGTAATCCATATTCAGGTCAATGAGAAAAATAATTGATTCACAAATAATTTACATACCTATACATAAATACATACATTGTACATCAGTTAAGACTGATATACAGCATACACAAATGTGAATGGTATATTTTGTTCAGTGAAGCTGATAGTGTGCACAGGGTGTAACAGTATGCATGTTTTATTATTGACAAGTCTCCTCCCATCTCCATGTTAGTCCAGTTGTGTTTTATTACAGATTCTTATCATAATCTGTTATTGTTACAGATGATAATCACATTGCAGGGGCGTTGGATCATATTTTTTTAAAAGGGGGGGGTGCGTTTTCCTGAAAATATATATTGAATATATTTGATATTAATAAGCAGTTGAAATGCATTTTCATGTACAAATGGATTAATAAACTCCATAATTATCATAAAATTTTTCCAAACCTCTTCAGTACCATCCAAGAGAGACATGTTTACAACACCCGAAATAGGGTAAACTATGACAAACCCAAAATTCGAACAAATTATGGTAAAGCCTTGATATCTTTTACTGCACCATCAATTTGGAATTCATTACCTATTGAAATAACATCATCTGGAAGTATTTTTATTATGAAAAAAGAATTGAAAAACTATTTTATCAATCAATAATATCAATTTCAGATAACCATAGTGGGCATTATATGACACATTCTTAGTCACACATAGATAGTAGCATTCATCACACAAGCAGATCCCCAATCTGTACATTTCATGATTATAACCACGGGAATATACATGAGAAGTGTCACCCGTTTACTGTACATTTGATGTTGAAATATATATGAATAAATAAATAAAATAAATAAAAATATAGGTGGCGCAAGAACTACTTGCGTGGCCGAAGGAGGTTGCAGGCATGCTCCCCCAGAAAAGTTTTTTTGAAGACATTATTTGGCGCAATCTGAGCGTTTTCAAGGACTATAAAAATTTCTTTCTGATAAACTAAATCGGTCAAGTATACGATTTATTAGATGAATATTGATACAAGCCACGGATCCAGGATTTTGTGTTCGGGGTGGGGGCGCTTGATAATGGCTGTTAGGGAGGCGAACCATGACAAGTGAGCGCAGCTAATGAGGGCCAGATTCTCCCTACAAAAAGTTTCAAAATTGAACATCATTCGGTGCATTCTGAGCAATTTCAGAACACAATATCCTGCACATAAAATCATTACATTGGAACATCTTTTCAAGACATTGGTTAAGGGGGGGGGGTAATCTCCCCCTGAATCCGCCATTTGGTACCCTATGGAATAATATCCTTGGTATCACTTATGATAGATCTACCACTAACGTGTTCTTTTGCGAAAATACATTACAATTTAAAAAGTAGGCGTATATGTTGATTTCTTCGATGAAAAATGGATGGATGACTGTCAGTTTATTTTTATTGAATGCCCTGTGATCAGAAACTGAACGGAGGGGCTAGCCGAATTCTGCTAGAAAATTCAACAAAACTGCAATATTTATTTTTTTCACGAGAAAGTTGAAATAAATCACTAAATGTATAGGCATGGCACCAACGTGAAATGTTTTTGCATTGATATCTAAAACCCAGCACCTACATAGAGACTATAGAGAACAAAAGTCCGCACCATATTTGAAAAAGGGGTTGCGTTTTCCAGAAAATATAGATGGATAGGCAAATGATTGCTTGGAAAAAGGCCACGCATCTGGGGGTCTGGAGCATGCTCCCTCATGGAAAATGTTTGTCATTGAAGACGTTATTTGGTCAATCTGAGCGTTTTTAAGGACCATAAATAGTTGTTTTCTCATATAAAGTAGCATTTTTGAAGTTTCACTGAGGAACCTTATCAAAAAAAGTTTTTTGGGCAGTTTCATAGGGTTCAAAAGGGTTACAGAATCTAATCTGTAATGCTTTGGGCGCCTAAACTAAAATTAGGCCCAAAGGATGGGTATCGATATGGCAAATTTTTTGAACACACTTTTTGTTAACAAAGTTGATTGTCAAATTGCATTGCAATGTGATAAGGAATAAAACCTCTTTCAGAAACTATTTAGTGTAAGATTTGATTGTTTTGGATTAATATTCTAATTGGTTGTATCTCAGGTATTATCTTGTTAATTAATTAACAAGATACCATTGCCACCTATCGTTTTTCGATTGAAAATAAAACTCATGATAAGTTAATTATAAACATAATCCTAGATATAAACTTACAAACTTTCTTGTCATGAGTTAATACCCATTGATTGGAATGTGTGAATGGAGGAATCAAGTCCCAGGGGAAATAATAATTTCAACATTTTACCTTAAATTATGACTATGACGTTTTCTTAACACATTACTTTATCTTTTACCTGAACACAACTGTGACTGTTTTATGATTTATGATGGTGTTTTTAAACAACAAACGCTGTTATTAACTAACTTCATATACAGGGTGTCCCAGAAGTAATGATAATTATGCTCTAAAATTTTTATTTGATATGGAAACAATATGAAATTCACACAAATTAAAGATCAAGATGTTAGCTTCATTTTACTATATTACATTTATTACTTTACACAAATATATTCAATGTATAGTTGCCATAGCAACATGTACGCGCATTCTGCGGAGCAGCTGTGTTTTTCATACATTTTTGAAAAACATTTCATGTTCATATGTTTCCCTGCTGTTCACATCACTACTGTAATGCTGCTACTTCATTCCTGATATTCCTGAAGAGCATTGTACATTGTTGATTCACTTATCCACATACTGTCCTTTGCTGGAGACAATTTGTCTGTGCCTTTCCAGCCAGGATTGGAAGACATGATCAAAACCACTGTTGGACATATCCTGCAGAGCCAACTGAACCGAGCAGCGCAATTGTCACCAAACCATTTATGCCACCTATACACAGTGGGGTTGGACAGTCTTCTCTCGCCATATGCTTGTTTAAACTCCTTTATAATGTCACTGGGTTTACCCCCTGTCTGTCTGAAGGAATTTTATGACTGCTCTCTGCTCTAATTTTTTTTCATCTTTGCTCAACGTTGGTGGAATAATGTATACCTCCCTGGAAATTCCTAGGTTATGTTCCTAAGAGTTTTCCTTTTGTGAAACCCTATATGACATCATCATATGATGTCATAATATCAGATTAAAGTGATAATCCTGTCACAATGAGATAAATTACATAATATTAATTTATTAAACCACTATGACATCATGCAACTGTATACAATTACCATAACAATGATTTAAAAGCTTGAAACATTATCACAGAATGACTGCTTTTCTAAACTAAGTTTGAACATTTATAATATACGGAAACTGCTCCGCAGAACGCGCATACATGTTGCTATGGCAACTATACATGAAAAATTTTTGTATAAATTCATAAATGTAATATAGCAAAATGAAGCTTATATCTTAAACTTTAATTTGTATGAATTTCATATTGTTTCCTTGTCAAATAAAAATTTAAGAGCATAATTATGATTACTTCTGGGATACCCTGTAGTACAGTTGTTTTATTGTTTAAAACATAGCATGCAGTATTGGAATAGTCAAATATGTATATATCAACATGATTTTTAAGTTTGTTTTCACTTTTGTTTTATAATTGCATAAAACAATTGAATAAGAGGAAAAACACATCTAGAAATATTGTTTATTAGTATATTTTATTCTTCATTCGCATTACCCAGGACAAAATGTGAAAAAATAAAAAAAAAAATAATAAAAAAAATGTGACTCCAATATTTAATTCGCGGGGTCCTGAATTCGCGATTTTATACTCATGTGGATATACGCGTACCCTTTGCATTCGTTCGACTTCACTTCTTAAAAGAGAGCTCCGTCTTCACTCTTTCAAACTAAAATAAACCTGTGAACTCACCGCGCCAATCAGTGTTCGTCGGCCAAATTTGACCGACGTTCTATATATGGTCATTCCTTCTGACGTCATCGTTGAGCCCGGAATTAACCAATGACATGCGCATATTTAATTAGAACGCATTTGGCGTATGTTTCTTCAAGCTCGCTGATTGGTGGAAGAAAGGTCAGCGCGTAGGTCAAATGTGATTTATTACCCAAACTGTCACCGGTACCCGTCGCGGGGGCGGGACTACTAAACTGTAATATGGTCTCTACTAGGCAGAGTGTAGTTTAACTAGACTCTGCACGCAGGATAATATACGCGAATTCAAGATGCTCGCAAATTTAACATGTTTTACAATATATATATATATATATTTCAAATTATATTGTTACCATTCAAAAGATGATGGTCACCATTAAATTGACAATGTGTAAAATTTTTAGAATTTTTTGATGACTGGTTTAAGAGAAACGTGTGTTCAAAATGTTCCCCATATCGATACCCATCCTTTGACAAAAATCAGGACTTAAGGAAGCCATTTTCAGGGAACTTTCTCATGTACTGGTATATTGTCAATGGCAGGTTTTGTGATTGACAAGTTTCTCAAAGTTTGTCCCTTTACTTGTTCATTACTTGCAATGAATTACATTAATACTAGATTGAAGCATTCATTCCATATTGCTCAATATATGACAGCATCAAATATTTACTGTTTTTGAGATATTTGACGTCAAAAACCAGTAAAAAATAATTTATTTTTCAATTTGACCAAATTTTTTGAGGAAAAACGTCTAGAAGTTGCCAGGAGTTCAAAATCTGACCTGTCACAAACTGTGCTATCTAAGTTTCTCAAAGTTTGAGATTACAAATCAAAATCAAAAATTTTGTTTGAAAATCAGGAGATGCATTCCTCTGAAGGTTCTACATTGTGTGAGCACAGGTCTGGGTCCTTTATTTTCATAAATCTTACCATCACAGTTCTGTTTAATTTGAAATTTTTACAGCTGCCAGAGAATACTAGTGCCAAGATCTGATTAGGTTTTGAACATGCTAGATAAATTACATGGTGCCCATTCTGTTCTTCAAAGTGTGATATTTATCTCTGTATGTCTTGTAATTACTTTTTCACCATTTTTACTTTCAATATAAAAAACAGTACATGTTTCTGTGTCTGTCAAAGATTCAAAATATTCTGTTATACTTTGCTGTGTTTATTCCAGACATCTGAATGGATGCCAGCTCGATGCGATAGCACGTCCCCACCTCCTTATAACAGATGCTTA